AAATGACCCGGGGAAGATGAGACCAAAAGGAATCTCCACTTCTATGTTAAAAGGTTACTGGGAGAATAATAAGAGAGTAAAAAGTATGTATGTCTACATTAAAGAACTACTAAACCATTTGAGAGTGTATCTACATTACTCTAACTTAAACCATTTGAATACAGGAAAGGTCAAGAAGCTTCAACAAGTAAAAAACCACATATCCAATGTAACACAAATTTGACTGCAATATCAAATAGTCTCAGTCAGGGATGTTTTTGAAATTGCATGCATGTACACATTATTTTAAATAAAATATGTTCTTGATTGTTAATTTAATGGTTCTCTTAAAAAACATGAATATTTTACACCGCAGCCATCACAAACTTACACTGAAATGTTGATGCAGTCCATTGTTGAACTCTATGTGCAATATATGAGATATCAATCTTGAAATTCCTTTAAATGGATGTATTACATAATCAAATTATATTGAAAATCTTAAAATACTTTGAGTTTTGTAAAATTGTTGAAGCAGTGTTTGGTTTTATTTTGACAGTTTTATGGTAATATTATGACAGTATTGTGACAAAAAATTCTTGTGGCATTGTGGCTAAGTTTCTGGTATTATTAGATTATTCAGTCGCGCTAAGGGATTATTCCCCTGTGTGATTGAGGTAATATATTGACGCGCCTTTGGATGGAATTATTCAACGGAAATAAAATAATATTCCCACATAATATTTGAATATTCTGTAGTTGGATTGGAATATTCTGTGGTTTCATTCTAGCTTTATTGGAGGAGAAAACGCCGCGGTCGGATTGGAATATTCCGCCGTATTATTGAAGCATTATTGGAATCTTCCGTCGTGTTATTGAAGCATTATTGGAATATTACAAAAAAAAAGTTTAGTTTAAAATAAATAATAATTATACGAATTATCTAAATAAGTTATTAAAAATAAATTTGAATAAAAAAAAGTTTTTGAAAATAACAAATCAATTTGGATCAGTTTTCAAAGTTAAAATTTAATTCACAGCTAGCTAAATTAAATTGTAAAATATAAATTTGTTTTAACTATATTTACTTATTACAAAATTCAATTCTTATTGCTAAAAACATAAATAAAATCATAAGCATTGCTACTTAAACGTTATACAAATCAAATTTGAATAATGTGAAACTCATGAAGTCTATAGAATTTAAGAATCATGTGTCGTTCGAGACAGTTAATCACATTGGAACTTCATTGAATCAAAGTGTACCAATTTTGATTAGAACTGCTCCAACCTGATCAAAATTGCAGCACTAATGTTTGGTATACAGCAACTGTGATATCCAATCCAAGGGTTCAACCTCAAAATAGATAATATATAAACATATAGAAACACATATACATAAGAATTTTGCTAATTATAGAGACATAGCCCAGAAACATAGATCATGGGCAAACTCTGCCCTAAATTTCGACATATCCGCCTACCAATCTTTCTCTTCACTCCAGTCACTTTGGTGGACTTGAACTAACTTTTTCATAAACTTGGATACAAACATGCCACAGTCAACGCCATTATTATGTACAGAGACTCCATCCACAAGTGATAGTGATCAATTGGCCACATTAGCTCTGAACTCATTTCAACAATCTTTTATAAACAATTTGATCAGGAAAATTATCATGTGGAAGTGATTAGTGCATTTAGATAGCTGAATAAGAATGAGATATTCTATGAAGAATACTTACAACGTCATAGCACACCCTGTTGTGCATCTTGTTGGGTAATAAATAGTACAACTTCCATTTTCTATTTTTGAAATCAGCAACCAGCAGTATCCAGTGATCATTGTGAATAATATGAAATAATATGATGTCGGCCTTTTTTACCTCAGCTGTTGTGATATATCCAACCAATGAACAAGATTGGCCACGTCTATGCATCTGTATTATATCATGCAAAAATGTTACTGATCATAATATGAATTTAATAATTAAGTATAATTTATGTACTTACCCAGTATAATGGTGTGACATATAAATTCAGTCTGAATGAATTAGGATAGCTATCCTTCCTTCTCTTTAATTGGGCGGCAAATGCATCTACATGTTCCTTTGCAATCCAACCCCCTTGTAGTAAATCTAACACTCCATCATAGTCTATGAAAGCACCCCCGTTGCTGAACAAAATATCATGTTTGCAGTGTACATGGACATTGAGTCATTGATTGTAAACCAATTGCAATACATAGATTGAAAAGAAGGCCTACTCACCTTTGATTGTACATGGACAATCATTCATCTATTACGGATTGCATTTCCAGGGATATAAGCACTCTGCCAGGATAATCGATATTGGGCACCAAGCGTTGTGGCTACAAGAAAACACTAATTAAGAGATATATGACGTAAATCTAACAAGTAAAAAACTATGTATGGAAACTCATTTCATCATACCACTATTATAGGTTCTTCTACAGTGGCTAGGCTTTGTACACCTGGTGATTTTGATGGTTCTTCTACAATGGTCGAGCTATATACAACAGGAGAAATAATTATTTTAAGGTCCTTTTTGGCCTCGGCCTTACTATCTACAATTGGAGTTGTTATTATTTCGTTATCATGTGATTTTGTTGGTTCTTCTACACTAGCAAATGCATCTACCTCTACATGTTTGGTATTTACAGGGAAATCCTCAGGCCTTACGACAGGAGTCTCTAGAATAACATCTAAGGGTTGAACAACATCCATTTTTGGTTTTCTTCTTTTATACTCAAAACCAGCATAAGGGGAAGCCAACTTTCTCTTGCTTCTACTTCGTCGACCCTTCACCCTTTCAATTAAGCTGCTAACAATTTGCTCATGGGTTCCTTCTTCTGGTAACTTAATCACTTCCTCACCAAGTGTTGATTGATATGTTCCCATTTCATTCATCTCATCAACCGCTTCAACAGGAGATGGTTGTCGGGTTCCATATTCGAATCCAATGTTTTTTTTCATAGGAGAAGACAACTGGGTGTACTTCTCCTTCAACTCTTTGCCTTTCTCAATGCTTGGTTGCCCAGATTTTTCAATGCTACTCTGCAGTCCTGACATTGTCTCTTGTATATTTAAGACTCACATATTTATTGTAGTGAGTGCTCCTTGGAATTCCCTGAACCATTTCTCCTGAGCTCTAAGTAGCTCAATGATTACTTTGAGGCTTTGATTGACTCCACCTTTTGTTCGCTCTTGGGTGATGTCGCTCGAAAGAAACCATCCCACATCATATTGCACTGGTGATTGTGGTTTGGCTTGTGCTTCTTGTTGTGTGACTGCCCTTTCCATACTAGATAATCCTTCATCAGGCTTGGCTAGCAAATGACGTTCTTCCTCTTTCAAATCCAAGAATTTATCATGAACCTACAATTTAATTAAGCATTATAGGACGTTAAAAAATAATAGCATAACACATGATTACAACAAGAGCTAAAAAAGTGTAATTTAAATCACTTACTTGTGCTAGACTGAGCCTCTTGAAGGCTATGTCAAGTTTCGACGAATTCCAACTTGCATCGGTCGGCCACCTCAACATTTTGGATCTGGCCTCGGGATGAGCAAGAGTGAACAAAGTTGTATGCTCATAAAACCAGAGCTGTGTATAAGTAATGTCATATGATGTTTTGTACAAAATGAATGAATTTTATGAGGTTAATATAATGCACTTAGCGTTAGGAGACAATGAAAACCATTTATATATGTTCAATGAGGAAATCACATAACACTGCAGGCCAATTAAATGAGCTGAATGTTTGTACTTTCTCAGCAAAAGTTTAAAGTTCCTTGGGAACACTAAGATTACTAGAAGGGAAAAATAAGTTTGAGATAAAAAACTTTAAAAACAATTCATCAAAAGGTGTAGAACACTCCCCGCTTGACACATTCAAAATCTCATGCTTAGTTTGGCCTGCATCGACACTGGAAGATGGAGTTTTTTTCCATTTTGACACTTCTCCTCTGTTCGACATGCCTATTAGCAGGGCAATCTCATTAGAGCTTATTCTGAGATCTTTCCCGCCAATTCTAAATACCATTCACTCATATTGCCAACACTTTAATATTTGTAGTGTGAGAAGCGAATAAGGAGGTAGATCAAAAAATTGATCAACATTCAATGGTCTCAGGCTATTCATTCTCTCCTCTGATAAGCCAAGCTTGACTTTATCAAGAACAACTTATATAACGGATGGACTACACCTGCAACTGAAGGACCTTGGGTTCACAAACCTACAATAAAAAAAACATGCAAAAAATATAGCTAATTAGTTATCTATAAATCAATAAAACAAGAACCCTAAAAAAAAAAAAAAAAAAAACTTTAAAGCATTAAAGAGATGGAGATGTTATTCAAGTTTTATTAAGGTATCCTTTTAGTGTTCTTGAGGTGTTATTGAAACATTATTATGATTTTATATTATTATACGATTATTATAGTATTATTATATCGCTAGTGTTATTATGATATTATTATGATATTATTATGGTGCTATTATGATATTATTATGGTGTTGGTGTTATTATAATATTATTTTGGTAATATTTCAGTATTATTATGGATTTATTATAGAGTTATATAAAAAAAGTATCGAATTATTACCATACTGCAATGCTAGATTTTGAGAGCAACAACAAAAAGAAAATATATTACGTTGATGCGTTTTCATGTCTCTTGAGCTCTTTGGTGTTCTTCTTCTTCATCTCTTTTTCTTCCTTCTCATGCTCTGTAGTTTCCATCGTCTCGGGCATTTCAGTCTCTTCGGTCTCGTCGGTGGGCTCATTAGCTTCCATTTCTTGTGTGAAGAGGGGACTCGAATTGGGCGAATTCTCTTGCAACAAAAGATGGAGCATGTGAAACAGCCCGAGCTTTTATCTTCAATTTTATTTTGATAGTTTAAATTCTGTCCGACCGTGTAATTAGAAATCTTTTTTTTATTTATTTAGGAGCGAGGCCCACATACATGTAGATTGTGATTATTTGATTGGAGCAAGACGCGGTTGGTGCTCCGGACCCAATACGGGACTCTTCCCTTTATTTTCACTCCCGCTTTTTCGACCCCGTTTTTGTGCAGCGAAAGGGCACGGGAGCATGGGTTCCGCGAGCGGAAGCAAACCTCCTTCGAAGCCAATGAGGAGAGAAATTGCCTTCTCGTCTCTTTCCCCTTCAAATCCCAACGGAGAAACGACGTTAAACACAAACCCTAAACCTAAATTTGACCCGATTTGCCCCGGACCTCGCCCTCCCGGCCGTTACCGGCGGACCTGACGCTGGATCCATTGCCATGTCGATCGATGGAGCGGAGGAGGACGATGTGTTTGCTGGAGCGGAGTTTCTTTCAAGGGAGGAGGTCCTCCGGCGCCGATCTCGCCGACTGAAGCAGCTGAATCGGTGCTATCGTAAGCATTATTGGGCGCTTATGGAGGAGATTAGGGTCAAGCATAGGGACTATTATTGGGAGTTTGGGAAGAGTCCAGTCGAGGAGGACAACGCTGCCACTGCACCCGGGGCGGGGACTGGCGAAGCAGGGTTAGGGCAAGCCGAAGGGGAAAATGGGAGTTCTTCAAAGGGCGAGAGAAAGCGGTGCGCTTGCGCTGGGTGCAAATCAAAGGCCATGCCACTAACTAATTATTGCCATCCTCACATTCTCTTCGATACTAATCAGACTCTATATAAGGCTTGCAACCATGTTATTAAGAGGTATAAATCCGTTTTACTTATATTTCTCTGTTGTCTTGTTCCTCTTCCTCCTCACCATGGCTTAGGTAACGTACTCTGTTTTACTTCTATGCAGAAAGTTTGTGCTTCCTAAATGCTACCTTCAAATGCATATTTATTTCTATTTTTCCCTTTTCTGGTTAAGTTGTGCTTGATTGCTGGTGTGTTTGGTTTGAAAATGGGTTTTATGTATTTTAACTATTTTTTTGCAATTGTTTTGTGATAGTGTATGAGTAATGAGAAAAAAAATTAATTTTCTTTTGGAGATGAAATTTGTTTGATTTCTATGTCTCTCATGGATGTATTCTGATCTCGTAATGCGAACATAATATGTCTGTCACCTGCACATAAAATTCAAGCACGGTGTTGTATTTTGATTATTTCCTATTGGCCAAACTTTACCCGCTGAAACGATAAAAGTCTTTCTAATGTGTCTTTGTAGATTGCATCTTGGTTGGTTTTTTCTTACTCGATTGATTTTTCACTGGTTGAGTAGTTGGAATGAGGAGTTATTTTGGCAGTCAATGACAGCCTTATGAAATCTTCATCTTTTTGTAAGTGTGTGAACAAAAACTTGAATTATCATGTGGATCATTCACTGGACGGTGCAAAGCTGATTCTAGTTTCACTATGAATCAATGTGATGAAGCTATGAATTAATCAGAAGAGCTGGGTGGAGAGGGAGGTTATGACTCTTCTTTTCCTTTTTTTTTTGTTTTATTGCTGGGAAACATTTTTAAGGGTTTTCATTCATCTTGTTTTTTGCAGTTTTCCTCCTATGGGGGGCCAACGCTCTATAAAGATTGTTTTTTCCCTCCTCATTTGTTGTAGTGGTAGTGGTCAAGTGACTAAGCTTGGGTTGTTTTTGCTTGAGTTATTTTAGAATAGCATAGCATGTAAGATGAACCACTGATAGTTAGGAGAAGATCACTCTGGCGATGCTGCCAACCTGTGATATTTGAGTTAAGTGAATATATAGAATCAAATTTTGGCATTTCATGCTTCTATAAACTACTTATCATGTTCAAACCTTTGTTTAAAAAAATATTGTTTATTGTATCTGCTTAACCGTTTGGTATTGAAATTTATATTTTGCTTGAGATTTGTTTTTCTTGTGGACTATTGGTGGTTAAGTTTCAATTTAAAGCTAAAGTTAGCCCATAGTGTTTTCTTTTTATTTGAGTTCTGTTGCCCCTTAATTCATATACTGCTTACATTAGAACATTTTAAGCTGTTGTCTCATCCCTTTCCCTTTGCCAAGATATGATATGGATGCAATCTTCTCCTTTGTTATTTCAATTTTTATTCTAGTACCTACTATAGCCTTAATAGTTTGTATTACTATGGTTATCTGAAATGTTTTGTTAATATCTTTGTATTTCTTGTTATATTATGTCTATGTTTTTTTCTTATGTTATATATGATATTTTTTTTTTTGCAATCTTATTTTGAATTTTATTGATATAAATTAGATCTGATAACCACCCTATTGAACATGGAGGCTTAGTTCACTTTGGGCATCATAATGGGTATTCTAATGACTATGTAGAATTAATATGGTTTAAATTTTCTATTTTGGTAATTACTTTTTAGTTGATTTTTTTTTTTAATTTGTACAATCTTCAATTTGGTTGTGCTGCAACTTTTACCGTTTTCTTCATCTTTTGTGCTTGTATGTTTCTATGTTCACATATAATTTAGTTATTGCCACAAGTATTTTTTTTATTTTTTGTTCATCAATTTTCTTCTTTTGGGGCATTAAATTTGCTGTTCTATCCGGTCAAGACATAGCATATTCTATCCTCTATTTGCTTAATCTTTCCTTATGGTATATCTATGATTCTTTTTTAAAATTTTAAATTGAACATTAAAGAGGCTATTATAAGGTAAGAGGTCATAATAGAAATTGTCAAAGTTTTGATAAAAATATGCTGAATATTGAATAGGCTCGATTGCCTTTTCCCTTTGCTTTCATTCCATTAAATAACAATCTTACAATCTATTTTAGGTACAAAATAAAGTGCATATAATATATTTTAAGTAACTTAATAATATATATTCCTAATTTAAATATTTAGCTAAAAGAGAAATATATCAGAATACATATATTGGAAGCAAGGAAGCTTCTAATTATAGAAAACTCTTAATTTAGCTGCCTGATTTTCATTCTTTCTGGTTGACACCTCCCCTCAAATTGATGCTGACCGATCAGTAAGCATCAATTTGCCAACAAGAAGCTGATAACATTGTCGGGACAAATAATCCTCAATCCATGAGTGCCGAAGCCTCAGAGTTCCGAAGCCTAAAAATGCCAAAGCCTGAAAATGTTGAAGCCCGAAAGGCCGAAGCCTGAGAGTGTCGAAACCTATGAGTGCCAAAGCCTAAGTGTGTTGAAGCCTGAAAGTGCCGAAGCCCGATAAGCTGAAACATATGACAGAGAAAACTCTTAATTTAGCTGTCTGATTTCCATCCTTCTTGATTGACAAATGTCAATTAAAGAGGCTGATATAACGATTACTAATATTCCTTCCATAGTTTTTATACAAAAATAACTCAAGATTCCAAGGAAATTGAATTAGCTATCGTTGGAAGATGATGTGTTTTAAGAGTTGAGAATAATTGAATCAGATCTAAAATAACAAAAATGGAGAAAATATTGCCCATTGGGGAGTTTGAAATGAAAGAAAATTTAACTTCAAATTGCATGTGCACGAGGCTTCCAGTAACGCAGCACATTTTTATGCAACCTAACCTTTGTCAACAGAGAAATGATTTCCTGCTTTCAATGATCTTTTTAGACACTATAGGACAACCTAATTATTGTTTTTGCGTTATAGCATAACTCCTAGGGATGACAAGATACCAAATTCAAAATTTGAGTTGGATATTATTATGAGAAATGAAAGCTTTCAACTTGATGGAGAAACCAGATAGATTTATAGGATTTGCCGACTTGTTTATTGTCAGATTTGTAGAGTTGTAATGGAGAACAAAACTTACTAAAAGAAAATCGGCTCATGAAAGTTGAGTTATTTGCAAGACCTTTAAGATTGTTCAATATCTTGTTGATTCAAAGTATTTTTAATGATAATGCATTCTTATATTGGTCATTTTGAATTGACTTGTTTGTTGTCAATTTAAGACTAAACAAGTTGGATTTAGTGAATAGTAGGTAGTAAAGATGTTTATGCTGTAAAATATCTCTTGGAGGTGTTTCAAACAAGTAACTTGGATTTTGTCAGAAATGAGTAATAAGATGATTCTGTGGTAGAATTAAGAAGGGTCGAGCCAAAAAAGATTAGGCGGATGTAGGCTACATCTATTAAAAATATCACTATAAACTATAGTAATTTGGGCATGTATCAGACAGTAAAAAATGCATCAAATAAAGGGGTTGTTGATAGTATTAATGTACTTATAAGAAAAATGAAGAATATTTTAAAATTCGCTAGAATGTATGAAAAATTATGCGTTCAAATAAAGTAAATATCTTATGTAACACTTTAGAAGAATGGTCAGATTCAAAGAATGGTAAGGTTAATAATGATAAAATGAATTTTGTTAATTGAGAATTTTAACCGAAGAAAAGAATTGGAAGTGACTGATTAGAGCAAATACTTGTTTAGGATCAGCTGGAGATCAAGTAAATAGGTTTTACTCTGAATATGGGCTTCATACAGCAGATAACAGAAGAGTTTATTGAAGGATAAGAGAAGATGAAACACAAACTGAATTAAAGAATTATTTTTAATGTGAGAATTTGAGATATGTTAATTATTTGATTATTTATTTATTGAAGACCACTTATTTTTTATTTGCCGTGATTATGAATATATGCAGCACAAACAACGTTCCCCAAATCTGCGCCAAACCTGTTCTTAGAGCTGCATCCCCATCTCTATGTCCTGCCCACTTTCAGAGGGCTCAGAGGCAAGTTTCGCAGGCTTTGAAGAAGGCAGGATTGAATGTATACTCCTACAACAAACCTTTTCCAAAGCTTAGTGTGCTGATTTCCGAGTGTGTGAGGCAGATTCAAGCTAAAAGACGTAGAAAAAGGTCTGGAAAAACTAATGCAGAAAAAATTGAAGAAGATGATGAAAATGTTACCTGATGTAAATAATCTTTTATTTAATCTTGCTGCTTAAGATTGAAACTAAACATCAGCGTAAATGAAGGACTCAGTGCTCCAGACCCTTTCAATAACTCTTACATTTGTTCAAGGTATGATTTTACACCTTCAACTTGAATTCTTTTATCTTCAAAAGTTTTGCCATGGAGCAGGTTTTTGAGTTTCCTGGAACATTTCAGATTTGAAGAAGCTGCTATCCGTCCCGTTCAATGGCTCACTTCAATCTAAGTACGTCATTTGGTTTATTAGCTCAATAACAGCAATTTACTTTCTAACCTGTATGTAAATAGGTATTTACCTGTTGCAATCCCAGAGGATTCTTTTGCATAGTTGAATTAGCCACCTGCATATCATTCTGAGGGCTAATTCTGTAGCATGAAAAGAGAAAATATATCATCGTTTTTGGGAGTGCATTGAACTTAGATAGTGTTGTGGAGTTAGAAATAATTTTTCATTTTTATAATTATGACAGACTAAAACATTGTTAAAACAGGGATTTATATACCTAACAGCTAAATTTTACTGTTTACATTTTTGCCACCCAAATCTTACATATCACATTAAAAAAAAAAAACAATTATTTTGGCTTTTAAAAGGTGAGATACACCATTTTATGCATGTCTGGCGGTATAAATGTAAAACTTAAAGTTTGGTGTTAGATATGCAATACCATAATAATTGGGTGGTATGTATGTAAATCTTCCTTTTAAAAAAGCATGATTTCTAACTTGAGCAGCGAAATGAGCCCTGCTGCCGTTAACCAGTTTTGATGTTTTCATTTTTGTATGCGGCATATGCTTAGTTAGGTTGTATGTATTTACCTTAGGTTGATTGCTCTTCTTAAAGGAACATTGATGTTAAAAAATTATTGTTTTTTAAGATTTTTTGTATCCGCTGTTTATTCATGTCTTGGTTGTGTTGCCAGATTTTAGGATTTTTTCTTTACTGTGATCAGACTTGGCAAACGTCATCTTCTTAATGCTATTATTGATTTCATATTTTCAATACTAAGATATAATTTCATACATCCGAATATCTTTTTACTGCAATTTAGAACCAATTTGGTAATTCTCTTGTATCACCCTGCCAATTTATCTTGAATTAATGTTTATTAGAGGCTGGACAGTATTTTGAATCAAAAAAATTTTGATTGACATGAAAAACGCTTCTTTTGAGATATTTAAGATTGATTATAAAAATGTTACTAAAAATATTATAATATTATATCATTCTATTATTTGTAATTGATTCGCATAGAAAAATTGGAGCTCTTACTATTTTTTAAAGCCTTTCAGACGTTACTGGAATAACTGCGCTGTTGTTTGTTCGTTCGTTCTAATGAAGCTTTGCAAATTTAAAACAAAGTTTTCCTTAGTTTTTTTACCGACGAATCCTCTTGATTTTCCAATTTAAATTTGGGGGAATATTATCTTATTGAGAATAACTTCCATTATGTTTGCACTTAACTTATTTTCCTTCTTGATGCTGCAACTGTGGATGCTTAAATTTTTTTGAGAACATTGTTTGACCATAATAAAGAACTTGGCAGGAAAATGTAAACGACATGATTAGTGCTAACGATATGATAAATCCTAAATGTTTGTATTTATTGTAATATAAATTATAATTGGTTTTTTACATTTTACTTTTTTAGCGTAGTAAATATAATGATTTTTAAATGTTATTTTAGTCAAAAGTTCGAGGTATTGAAAAGAAAAAAAAAAAAGAGTTTTGAGGGATTCTAATGAACTCTGGCTATTTTAGAAATGTACGTCAAGTAACGTTTACTTGATTTTAAATAGTTTTTGGGGTAAATCATTTTATCATTTGTTAATTGAGCTGACTAGAAAGAAATTTATAAGGTAGCAGATTAGTTCATGTCATACGACATTAAACTATAATTATCTGAATGGATATTAAACCACTGAATATGAGAGAACTGATGTCAGAACAAGATAACAATTAAGATAAACATAAAAATCTTTTTAGATATATATGTTTATATACAATCTCAATTCTTATGTGTTATCTTAAACCTAAACATCACGTGAGGGATTCGGAATCAGGTTATAATCGCTTGGCTTGCTGGAATTTGCAATTTTTTATTTAAATAATAAAATTTAATATATTTATTTTTGTAATCAATTAAAAAATGGATTTTTGTCGAATTACATAAAGGAGTAAGACATTTGTGAATTTTGTCCATCGTCGCAAAATAACACTAATTTCTGCATGCACAACAACTTCGCTATGCATGGAAACGTGTATTTCAATTTTAAAAAGATTAAGTTGTGATAGTTCCTATGTGATATAAAAAACTTGGGTGATATAAAGCTAAAAATTAAAATTTAGGTTTTAGTTAATTATATGGGAGTCGGGCTTTATGTATACAAATGCACTCATAATTTGGCTCACAAAACGCTTTGCGAGTTGATGTGCAAACGACTCTGGGTCCTAAGTTTCATGCTAACGTTTGTTTTGTCTTTTATATTTCAATCAGTTGAATAAAATAAAAATTCCAGAGGCATCGAGATTAGATTCCGGTGTCTAAAATAGAAAATTTAAAAATTAAGGCAAGTGATAGCTCAAAGTTTCTCCTGGCTGAAATCTAAAAATATTTTTTTCGAGATTTTAAATTCATTTTTTTCCGTTCACTCAGATAACACCATACATATATTAGCCGGGAGGTTAAGGGCCATCTGTGATGAATTTTCAATTTTGAATTTATTTTGTATATAGTTTTTATTTAAAATAAATATGTTTAGTATGCTATAAAATATTTAGTTATTTACTAAAATATTCTGGACAATTCTTAGAGATTTATAATATTTTTAAAAAAAATATTTTTTTTTAATAAATTTAAAATAAAACATGTAATACAATGCACTAAATAAATATATATTTTTAAATAAAAAAAGGAACTCCAAACAACCTCCTAGCTTTTCCCTCACCAATTATTGAAACTCATAACATATGTGTATGAATTAGTTGATACCAAATGTAAATTGGTGCCTATTTGCTTTGCCATAAATTTTGTGGATATCAATTTCAATTATTTCAGTGTAATGTGAAGAATAAAAAAAATTAACATTTTTCTTGAAATTAGATTTGTTTGTAGAAACTGTGTAAGAGAAGTATAAGGAGAGAGAAAGAGAGGAGAGAGTACACACAGACTTGTCCTGTAGGTGCGAACTGAGATATTCTTGAGCTATGTGACCCATTTTATATCTTGCAAATGAAGGTTATACGAGAGAATGAGAGAGAGAGTTCTCCCTACAAGAGTTGGGTCTAGAGAGAAGAGACTAGAAAGGCCAAAAACCCCTTCATGCATGCTATGATCCCCCTATTTATAGAAGATTGAGGGAAAAAAGTAAAAAATTACATGCTTGTTTTCCTTGAATAGGGAAGTTACAGGTTATTATTATCTGTAGGTGTGTGCCTTTTTGTATTCATAATCGATTTTGACATCTTTTTGTATGGATGCTGGTTGGCTTTTACTTTGAGAAGTCAAACAGTTTTTTTTTGGCACCGGTCGACCTTTGTTCTAGAAAATTGGTCGAATTTGAGTGTTGTAGCCCATTGGCCTTAGGGTGACTGGTCGGCTTATCTCTACATACCCTTAGGGAGTTGGTAAGAGAGCTTCACATTGATACTTGTATGCTTGTTTGGGGGTTAGACCTTCATTTAATCGCTGGTGTGGATGTTTGTCTCTTGTTAGCTTGGGTGGCCTTTTGGTCGTCGAACTTGCCTTCGGTTGATTGGTAGTCATTCGGTCAATTTTCAACTCTTAGATCGACTGGCTATCGACCGACTGGTGGTCATCAGCCAGTCGGCTTCATGAGTACCTATATCATTTCATTTATGGGCTTTGAGTCATCTCCTTTAATTTGAACAGTTGGATAGTCTCAAGATTCATAAAAACCAATTTTGGGTGTACATATTAAGTTCCATACTTTTCTTGTTCCTTGATAGTGAGTTGGATAAGGATAATAAAAATTTTTAAGCAATAAATCAAATCTTAATAGTCATAATTTAATATAATGATTAAAATTCCTATATTTTTCTGTCCATGACCCTTATATATAAAATGTAGCAGGTGGTTCTCAATTCTTGAGTATGTTTCTCCTTGCATCTGCTCGACTTATGTTGCACTTATGAAGAAAGAATCTGATTTGAAGCCAAAATCCATTGATCGCCCTAAAATGCTAGCAACTTTTAGGGTGAAGGCAGACCAAGGAAGAAGAAGTGGAAGAAGAAGCTCTCCAAAAAGCTAAAGCCATCTGAGCAAGCAGAGCAAGAGTGGTTGGATTTGATCTAGGAGACTCCAAAGAAGGGCCGACCCAATATTGGAATGAGCTAGTGGTTTGATAGTTAGCTCGTCGACTAAGGCCCCAGTTGTGGTTATGGGCCGGTCAGAGACTATGGCTGCCTCTCATATGACTTATGTACCAGAAGTTAGTGGGGGTGATCAGTCAGCCAGCAAGAAAAGAGTGGCTTATGATCCTTCATCACTGGATGTAGGCGGAGCTATCTGGCTCGTCGACTAATACATATGTTTATTTTTATTTTAGGTTTTACATAGATTTTTAATCCTTAATTATTGACTTTTGAGAGTGCTTGTTAATCTCACTTTTTGTTGAGATCTAGTCTTCTTTCATTAGAAGCCTAGGATCTAGTCATAAGACTTTCTTGTTGACCATCCTAGAGGACTACTAATGGAACCCTACCTCATTAGAGATTCTAAACACATCTTCGCTCTTCTTAGAGTTCCACATGTTTGTTTATAACCTCTAGCACTTAGTAGGATGGAGCCAAGCAACGGGGAGCTCAAGAGGAGTCCCCATAGGACGGTCTGGCCTCGGGTTAGCCATGGGTGGTGTGGTTTTTATCAGTCTTCCACACACACACTCGAACCCTTCACTTTCACTCACAGCCTAAAACCCTAAAACCAAATACGCTTAGTGTCAGCTCCAAATTCTGTTGCACTTAGAGTCGCTTTCCTTCCAAGCTTTCCAGCTCTTCCAACCAAAATTTGGCATTTTCTCGATTAGTGATTTTGTTGGCAATGACAACCATGAAAGACGACAGTTGAACCTTTAAAGGAAGTACAACCTTGGACCCGTACAAAAGACTGTAAGGCGTAGACTGCGTAGAAGTCCTAAATGTCATTTTGTAGGCTCATAAGGCTTCTAATAACTGCTCATGCCAATTTCTTTTATTTTCATCCAAAGTTTTCCTTAAGATTTGGACAAGAGTTTTATTAAAATCCTCGGCCAAGCTGTTCGCTCTCGGGAAGTGGATCGTCGAGTAGCGCCAATCTATCCCGTGTTTCCTAATGAAATTATTTATCCTTGTACTCTTGAATGTGGACCCATTATCTAAAATGATTATGTGTGCTACCCCGAAAATTGTAGACAAATTGGTCCTTAAAAAACTAAAGAACGTGGTGTGCTTTCACCTTCATGAGTGGTACTGCCTCTGCCCAGTTCAAAAAATAATCAGTAGCTGCGAGGATGAATTGGTGACCTTTGGAAGATGGGGGCTCTATCGAGCCCACAATATCTGTGCCCCGACACTCGAACGGCCACGACGTGATGGTCGAATGCATCACATTCAGAGGTTAGTGTAGAACCACTCAGTGCACTTGACACTGATGACAACTCTTGGTGACCTTCATGCAGTCAGTCATCATCGCGGGCCAGTAGTATCCTAGCATCTTAATCTTTATTTTCATCTTTGTACTAGACTAATGAGCGCCACAAAGTATTGCGTGCACCTCCTTGACAATATTCTGTGGACCCACTCAGACATCTCAACCACATCTGATCAAACGACCTTCT